GAATCACTAATGAACAAGTACTAAGTTTGTAAAAATCTGAGCAATTTACTTGCCTTCCTTTAAAAGTCATCAAACCCACAAGGGCTAGAGAAACCAATGATAGAAATCATGAATAAGTGACTGCCAAAGCACTCTACAAGGAGGTAAGTGCTCCGGGAAAGTCAGGATAAGGAGGTCAGGAATGTCTGGTGGTAGGAGGGGAAGGTGCAGTGTGAAACAGAGTGGCCAGGAGAGGTCTTGTTGAAAAGCTAATGTTAAGCAACGATCTGAAGCAGAGGAGGGAGTGAATCATGAGAATATCGGGGAAGAGCATTCCAGACCGAGGGAACAGCTATGCAAAGTCCTCAGGTGGGGCATGGGTGGCAAGAATGAGGGGCCCCCGCCGAAGCCTCCATCAGAGCAACCAGGTGGCCAATGTATCGTGGCGCTCACCTGGCATTGCATGGGGGCCTCTCAGGACCCTTCCTGCAGGAGAGGGCGGAAAATGGACAGTCGCTCCATAGCTGGGGAAGACTCAGTGATGAGTATGGACTGGGCAGGCAGGGCAGGAGCAGCGTGTATGCAGGGCTCTGCTGTGTTCAGTACTTAAAAGCCCAGAGGGCATGGCCTGCCAACTTCACATTGCTCTGGACAACGTACTCATCACGAGAATCAAGCTTCAGAACCATCCCAAAAGGAGGACCTGAGTGGCTCCATCGCCAGCCTAGCAGCACAGAGCCCGCTTAAGATCCTCTGTCCCTCCTCCACTTGAGCACACGCACTCTCTCTCTCTCTCAAAAAATAAATAAAACGTTAAAAAAAAAAAAAAAAAAAAAAAAGAATTGAAGAAAAAATTTCTAAAAGGACTGGCCAAAACCAGTGCTCTAGCACTTCACAGGTACAAGGTGCTTGGGAAACAGCTTTTTAAAAAAACCTCTTTCGAGTGCACCGAGAGAAATCAGCCCAATTTTTAAATAACAGCTAATGCCCCAAAGGACAAGATCTAGTAAGAGCCAGGAATGTGAGTCAATTACTTAAAGCAGAAACAGATTCTGTAGGGGAGGCCACATTAAGAAAACACTGAATGGCCACTCAAAGGAAGGAGGAGGCGCAGGGGAGGGCCTGGCCGAGCCAGCAGGAGCCCCCAGGGGGTGCAGGGCCCCGCAGCAGGGGCAGTGTGTGCTCAGAGGACAGGACTTGGGCTGGACGGCACTCAGCAGTCACCCGTATGAGCACCAAGGAATGAGGGCAGTTAGGCTGGGGAAGAGCTGTAGAGGAAGCGGTGGTCTCCATGACCCCCTACCATCTGAAGAACAGGAAGTACAAGTATGTTCCGTGTGGCCGCAGAGACCAGGGATGGAAGGACAGGGAGCAGGATGTGGCTCAATCCAAGAAGTTCATCTGAAAATTCAGAACTGTTCTAAAACAGGGCAGGCTCCCATGGCCTTACTACGCTCCCAGCCACCCAGCACCAAGAGTTTTAAACCCATTACTGTTGCACATTTCAATACATTAAATACATCACCACAGGCCTGTCTCCACAATCCCCGTGAGGCACAGCCACTACGATACTGGGGCGCTATTTTGAAACCTCGAAATCCCACTGCTGGTGTTACTGCTGTTCTGTTGTTTCAGCCACAAATCACAGCTCAGCGCCCCCTCCTGGGTCTCCCTCCAGTCCCTGACCCTTCTTCCCCGCCCTCCCCAACCCCTCACAGGGCGCTGCGAGGACCTGGGGGGAGGAGAGCTCAGTGGTGGGTGGGTCTCTCCATTGAGGCAGGGGAAGAGTGAGGCAAGGCCATCCCGCTCACACTGGCAGTTAAGAGAAATCCAAACCCCTGCCATTCGGCAAGGCAGCTCCCCCAGGGGCTCCACGCAGCAGGAAGGCCCCACGGCGCCCCCATGTGGAGGGGCTGAGGCAGGAGAAGCAGGGGGCCCAGAGTACCAGAGGGACCTTCCACATCACAGGAGGGAACTTTACACTGGAAACCTTCACTTCACTGATTTTGTTTCTAATCTACCAATTCTGAAAGCACCTGGGTGGCTCAGTCAGTTAAGCATCCAACTCTTGATCTCAGCTCAGGTCATGATCTCACGGTTCGTGAGACTGAGCCCTGCGTAGGGCTCTGCACTGACAGCATGAAGCCTGCTTGGGATTCTCTCTCTCCCTCTCTACCCCTCCCCTACTCATACTCATGCACTCTGGCTCTCTCTCAGAATAAACACGCATTTTAAAAAACTGTCAGTAGAAACATCATGCTCCCTCACATCAGTCAGTGTGGTAACAGGCATAATTAATCCTGTATCACAGGGGAGAAGTTTCAACAGCTTCCAGTTCACAGCTCTTAAGGGGAAAAGCTGGGATTTAAGTGAGGCCACTTTGCTCCAGCCCTCGGAAGATGTCCTTCAATGAGCTCTAAATTCCTTCCCTAAATGCACCTTCACGGCCACCCCAGGCCCTCCCATGCTGACAGGGGAGGTCTCCGCTCTCCAGCAATTTGCGAGCGACCCTCAGCGGCCTGCCAGGTGGACTTTCAGGTACTCCTGAGCACTGTGTCCAGTGGGGGTGATGAAAAATACCATCTGAGAGCATCAGCCCTGTACTCAGGTCCTGGAAGACCATGCTGCCCAGGCTTCGGGGTACTGGGGGGATCCGCTCAGCACTCCAGCCTCTGGCAGAACAATCCATCGTCCCATCCATTCACTACAAACTTTTGCCCAACAGTGTTGGCTAGTCCAGAATTCATCAAGGAACCCTGTCAACTGCAAATGCCACAAACAAGAATGCAGTTTGGGGTGAAACATCCGTTTCGTACAGTATCTCCAGGCTTAACCAATTAAAAACCGAAGCTTCCAAAAAGAGAAGCTGGACACCCACGGCGAGGCTGGTGCTTCTACCTGCTGGGCCACACAAGGCCCATGTTCTCCTGTGCTGCCCATGGCTCATTCCACTCTCCCATTTGACCTTGGGGTCCCCCCAGAGAAGCAAACATTTGCCAGCACTGACTAACCTTCTGACTCCAGTTCCTCAGACCCCGACTGGGAGACACCAGTGTCCACCTGGGAACTCGCCACACTTCCTCACACAGGCAGAGAGCAAGCAGTCCCGGGGCGGGGCCTGCAGAGCTCAGTGCATTTCCTCAGCGGTCAAAGCGCCCACGAGGAGGACAGCCCCCTAGGCTGCGCACTTTACAAGCCTGGTGTTTTCCACAGCTACCAGCCCAGCAGACCCCTTTGGCTCAGAAACGTATAGAGGGAACTAGGTCACACCATCTGGCTGTTGGACTTTACCAGACAATCTACAAAAATGAAAATGAGCCCTTTCAACCTTCTAAACCGATACACACTGAAATAACTCCACTTAATGACTTAAAAAAATCTCACTGCATTTACAAGGCCAGTCTTTCCAGCGTTCCTTTAATCTTGCTCCTGCTGGGAAACAACAGTATAGGAAGCTTAACACCAGTGCTCCAATCTCAATAACAGTTAACAAAAATAACTGTATCACTTCACATTTGTATGTCTTTAGGTTTCCAAAGTACTTTTGCACTTATAATTTATTGTCATCCCATGAGCCTGGAAAAGCCAACATTCACTCTAACCATTTTATGACTCAAGGTAAGTGAAGTTATAGGATTTATATCACAAAGCTGGCAGAGCCCAAACCAGGCTCTTGTTTAATTTGGCAAAGGAGGGGCGCCTAAGTGGCTCAGTTGGTTAAATGTCCGACTCTTGATTTAAATGTACTTGATCTCATGGTTCATGAGATCGAGCCCCGTGTCAGGCTCTGTGCTGAGAGTGTAGAGCTGGCCTAGGACTCTCTCTCCTTCTCTCTCTGCTCCTCCCTAACTTGCATGTGCACTCTCTCTCTCTCTCTCTCTCTCTCTCTCAAAATAAATAAACTTCAAAAAAAATTAGCAGAGAATGTGTTTTTTAAATTACATATTAAGGAGAGCTCTGAGGTGAGGGTAGGGGAAGGAGGAAGAGTGGGAAGCAGCAAGAAAGAGGGCAGAGGGCAAGGGGCATGAGGAGTGGGCAGGGGTCCTCCCCCAGGGCAGCAGTGTGGAAAGTACTCTGGAAACTCTCAGGGCAGCCTGTGCTGCTTCTTAACAGATGCACAGAAGTGCATCAAGGGACAAGAATGAATCTGTGCTACACGTGGTCTGAGAAACTCAAGTAATCTTTGAAAGTCTACTGTTTTGCTTTGCTTTTCTAAAGAAAACAAAAGCTTTCTGATTAAAGAACATTACAGAAAAGAAATACCTGCTGTTGAAAAATCTGGGTCGAGAAAAAGCTTTAAGTTTAGAACTGGATTTAAACTTGTTTTTTACATTGTAACTCAACATAGGAAGGCCCAGAGACAGTCCCAGCACACTCTGCCTGGGAGACACAGGCGGAATGGGAGGGCACAAGACGGTCTTCCCCCGACTCCAGACCGAGGGGCAGCAACGGAAGAGGCACGGAGGTTCTGAGGGGAACCGGAGCGCCGGGTCGGGGAGCACCCCTGCAGCCAGGCTGTGCTAAAACGACACTCGGACTGCAGCCAGGGAACGCGGGAGCAAGGGAAGGAGGCAAGTGGGGCATCAAGGACTTCCACCTGCAGCTAAGCAGTCACCACAGCTCACAGATCAGACATCCTGACCCATCTGCCACAGCCATATGCTCACCATCCAGAAACACTGCTACCACTGAGAGAACCGGTTGAGACTTTCTTGAGTCTTCTGAAAACAGGGCCGAGACCCTCCACATCCCCACGTGCCCCGGGTGAGCGGTCGGCGCAGCTCAGCAGAGGCGCCCTTTTCCACACAAGGTGCCGCAAGCTGCCGGGTCCGCTCACAGACTTCCCTGGAACCTGAGGATCCCCTGCAAACAGCAGCAGGCCTTGTCATTTGAGCTTCTTAGCGAGGCAGCTTTAAACTCCGAATTCTGACTTGAAATCTCACTTCAGCTCTCCTTTCACCGAACGCACTGCTGTGACGCACACCAGCATCCACCCGGTTTGTTTCCAGGGTGTACGGTACCTTCGTATCTGCTGGGAGAATCGCACGCTTTCTGTGGAGTCGCCACTCGGAGGAATATCTGCTGCCGCCAGGAGTGTCTCCGCGTCTTCACGGGGGTCCCGCGGACATCGCCTAGGTGGTTAGCTTCGGAGTCAAAGTCCCTGAAAGCACAAGATGATGGCTTTATGACTGACGGGGAGATATAATCGGGTATTTTAGCTTGACTTTTTGTTCTTAAACAAAACACTACATTATAAATTATCTTCGTATAAGAGGACATAATCAGATAATCACGGACGTTGAATCAAGCCCACAGGGGGTCAACGCTCCGAAGGCACTGCTTTCTCAGAGGATGCATTTCATGAAAAGAGCAAGATTACATGCCCTTAATTCATTTCCCCTGTAAAAGGCATTAAGAAATACGCTCCACAGATCATTAGCTTCCCATTTCCTTTCTTGGTGCCACTTGAGAAAAGAGAAAGTGCTGACAGGGGCACTGGCACCAGGACCACCTTCCCCCCTGGGCTGCGGATGGGAGTGTTTTCTCGGCACAGGTGTGTACCTCCACAGATGGCCACAAACATGAGTAAAGTTCAATTACACAAGCCAATCCAGGCAGCGATTACACGGTTACTTGACAACGACAACAATCTTAATGTTTATATTTTTAAAAGTACAAAAAAAGTATGTTTATCAACACAACACTTGTAGTCTAGTCAGTGATTTTCTTCGCCTTTGCAGGATACCGTGGAGAGCCTGGTGACTTCCACCTGCAGCTAAGCAGTCACCATAGCTCACCGATCAGACATCCTGACTCATCTGCCGCAGCCATATGCTCACCATCCAGAAACACTGCTACCACTGAGAGAACCGGTTGAGACTTTCTTGAGCCTTCCGAAAACAATGCATTAATAAACTAGTCCTAGTCAAAACTGGAGAACAAGTTGACTTTTTTTCAAGTGACATTCGGTAAGAAAGCATAAGAAAGAAGATAACAATCCTTTAGCTAAAATGATTTAAGTGTCAAAAAAAACAGCTGAAAAATCCCTGTATATCAATAGTTCAACACTTGTACCCAGGCTTGATATATCTAAATTAAACCCTACCTTTTTGTGCTCATAAAATCAGAGGTGTTATTTTCATCTACAGGAGCCAGAAATTTTAGAAAGTTTGGCACAGAGGAAGAAGAACGAAGTTTTTTCCGCAGGGCATTACGGTAGGAGATGCTGAGAGTTTGGTTGCGAAGAGAGTTTAGGATAAAGAGATACAAACACAAAAAGTATAAAATATAAGCTTCAAAATAAACACTTCAGTTCTCACGCTAAGAAAATTAAATCAGGTAAGAAATTTAAGTTTACAAATGAGATTTAACTTTTGTATTCCGTCAATAAAATTCTATTTAAATGAGTGGAATCTACGAGTGACTTTGAGAACATCAGTCCATTCAGCCATGCGCGTGGATAAGCTCTAGAGACCTGCTGTACGACACAGTGCCTGTGGTTAGCAATGCTGGGCTGTGCACTCTAAAAATGCACTAAGAGCATCTCATGTTAAGCATTCTTACCAGAATACAATAAAACATAAAAAATCAGTCCATCTCCCAAAATGACTTTTCCTTTCAACTGGAAAAAAATAACTTTCCTAAATTAATGATGAAGTTTCTGATTTGGCACAAACCCCAGTACATACGATCAAATGCAGTTGCTGATTGGGTGTGTGTGTGTGTGTGTGTGTGTGTGTGTGTGTGTCTGTGTGTACAGCAGGGCAGGGGTAGGTGAAAATAAGTATATAAGAAATGGCTTGACATCAAGACTTGGCAATAGTAACTAATCCATGGTACATTAAGTAATCCATGGTAAATTAAGCCAGTTCGGATGACAGACTGAAAATAAAATAAAAAACAGAGCAGCACGCGTGCGCGTGCGCGCGCGCGCACACACACACACACACACACACACACACACACACACGCAGATGCAGTGGCCCCGGGTTCTCTCCCGCATGCCATGCAGCTCATCCTCTCTGTGTGAACCTCCCGGGAAGACAAACCACACTGAACTTGCCGTGTGAGTGTGCTCACCTCTTTGGCACAGCATTCCCACTTTGTTCTCCGCTCGAGCTATGCTTTAGGTACTTAAAAAAATTTGGCGAGGAGGCAGAGGGGTTAAGACGAGGTGGAGGAGCAGGAGCTGAAGACTGACCTGAGCAACTTTTAGACTCGCCAACGGATGGATGATTCACACTAAATAGCAATTAGAGAGAAAGCAGGGCGATTAGCGGGAAGAGGACGGGCCCCCGGCCCGCGCGCCCGGGGGGGGCAGACGGGCAGACACAGAGGGATCAGGCAAGAATGGGCTAGGCTGCCGGTGTCCCCATAAGTAAACACCAGCTGTCACGGAGCCAGAGGGCTGCTCTTCACTTCTCTTCTGAGTCCACTGTCTCATTGGCAAAGGTAGTTCTCAGTTTAAAAAAAAAAAAAAAAAAAAAGGAGCATTCTTGACCATTCCTCACAAATGTGCGCACCCAACAGTACTTTTTCCTCTGTTCTCTTTTGAGGAACTGATAGCATTTTTTTTGTTTGTTTTTTATTTAAACCAAAAGCAAAGGAAAGCAAAACAAACTCCAGAGTTTTTAAAATACATTTCTCTTTAAAATGAACAATAACTGGCCTTGAGTTCAGTGTCTCATTTCTCGTGTGTAAATGAGGGAAGAGTTCACAAGGGAGCAGAAAGCAAAACGGGTCTGCTGTGGGGGGGCGGGGGGAGGCAGGCACTTCTCCATCGTCTCCTCACCTCTGGCCAGCAACACGCATCAGGAAGCTGTATTCTTGGGGGAGCAGGGAAATGTACTGTCAGGGACACACATTTCCTACCACCTTGGCTCGTGTGAAAACTGCAGGCTTAGCAAGAGAACTAGGAATCTCTGGACAAGGATGTTTCCATGATCGCTGAAAATGCCAGAAAGAGGGCTGGGAAGGCAGCAGGGGGCAGAAGTAATGGGTATACAGGGTTTTAAGATGACAAGAACCCCATACACCCTCCAACTATGCTTGTCTCTAAAATGTCCTATGTTAAATACTACCTTCTGCTGTGCCTCCTGCTTTGGGGTCATATATGCAGCCAAGTTCTCAAAAACCATCATAACTATTCTCAATGGCCGACTGGAAAAAAGCCGAGAGACTCTGCTACGTCCTTCAAATACTGTTTCATTTCTGTACTCATAACATTTCAAACACCTCTGTACAGACTCTGACTCTGCATTACCCGTGCATGACCCCCACGGACACACATCAGTCCAGGGAGGGCAGCAACTACATGTAGGTGTGGCCCTTACATATATTATGAAGTGAAGGATTTTAAAAGATTTTTAGTTTTTTAAAGATTTTTAAACTCTATGACCGTCTATGTTCTCTGACAGTTACAGGGCCAAATTAATTGCCAAGGGACCCCAGAAGGAACCAGGAGAATTTCTACTACCACATTGCTTACCCATTTCTATCACCAGGAAATCGAAACACTCATGACAGCCAAATTACTGAAATTAGTAAATCTGGTTAGCAAAATCTAGAACTCTCCCACGGAAGATTTCAGAAAGCCTCTGTTCCAATTGTGTCACCCACAGAAGCTAAGCGAATTTGCCCAGGTCACAAGGCCTGCCCGGTCGGGACAGAGCGACACCCAGAACCCAACACCGTGCGTCTGCAGAGGCATCCACACCGCCTCTCGCGCTCTGCTGGGAACTGAACGCTGCCTCTCCCTCCCACCACAGAAATGTTGCCGGTTTACAAATGAGTGGACTCACCTGCTCGCCCCTTGGCCGTTTACCGTCACAGCCAGCAGCTAAGCTCCAGTACTCCTGCCTCTCACGGTGCTTAGCTGCTGGCTAAGTGATTACTATGCGCTTAGAGGGCCATTTCTGCTCCATTTTTACCTGCTTCCTCTTGATCCCTGTACTTGCTACTTGAACAAGTAATAAGGGTCTCTTACGTCTACACGTTTCCCATGGGAGGAAGGTGGGGGAGGAACAGAACACGCCTTCAGGCTTTGGCTTTTTAAGCCAAGAGCAGAACCTGACTCAAGTCTCTCTCTCACCCAATAAACATACCTGGGCTGCACATACCTGGTTAATAACAGATATGCCCCAGCTATTTTTGTAAAAACAGATTTACATTTTTAAACAAATCTTACTTTCGTTCATGAGGCGTCTCTGTGCTCACTGAGTGATACCTCATAAGTTTCCTCTGGGCGACCCCTGGAGACCCCTGTGCCGGTTCTGGAGGCTCCTCGCATTGCACAGGGAAGTGACTCAGGGTGTTCGCCCGCCTTCTGAAGCCCTGCTGGGGCGTCAGTGGGGCAGGCTCTTCAGCGGGCCGGCTCTCCGAGTCACTGGACAGGTCATCCGAGGAGCCGAGGAGCCTGAAGGAGCTGTCAGAGGTGGGCACGGCCTCTCTGTCACACCCAGATGGCTCCTGGTGGCAGGGGGACAGCAGGTCAGACACATCACAGGGAATCTGTGAGACTTACAAACCTCTCATCCCAGTGGCAGGAAAACATTTTGATACATAAGCACATCTGACTATAATGCCACCTAGAGGCCACCAAAAATAGAAGGAAATGAAGGCTCATTAAGTGGCAGCTCATCAGAGACAAAATGTTATTAGGCTGCTGGACCACTAGGGAGACTGCCCCAATGCAAGCTGACGGAGGGACTGTTGTGAGCAAAGCTGTAAATAATCCCGTCTCCCTGTAAAAGACTCTACTGTGCTTTCAAGAAGCATGTGGAGTCTTGTAGAACTTGTCTGCCCAGTTTAAACAAATCAAGAAGTTCTTTATCTCTGCCGAGTATGTGTATTTTATACCTGCATTTTAAGGCTCTCTGATTTTGATCTAATGTTGACATTCAACTTGGTAATCCTGAGGTTAAAAAGTATATCCTATATTATTCTCACAATATGAAAAATCTCTCCTTAGGCACTTCTTGCCACGATTCAGGGCAAATCATTTAACCTCTTTCTGTACCTAAATTTTTCTCATCTTTAAAAGGGTAGAACGAAGATTTATCTCACTGGGTTTCAAGAGGTAAGCAAGATAATATAAGTGAGAGTTTGCTGTAAAATGTTATACAAATATAATTTACTGTACCAGGAATTCAGTGGATCTACTGAGTGGGTAACTCACACATCTATTGGGAATCATGACAATATTTTAATACCATTCATTGTCTTTCAAGATTCATACTTTTTCAAAGAGATGAACTACTACTCAGGCAATCCTACACTTAGTGTGGCACCCAAGACATGGTTGGTGGCCAATATATTCTTTTCCAGTCAAAAAATGTAAAATAAGGGGAGGTATGCCAGTTTGCCCCTGAGGAAATTGCTAGAAGAGATAAATAAATCAACATGAAAAAAGTAAAATGAAATGAATGCATGTCATGATGGACTGGAGAATCTAAATTCTATGTGTTCACTTGATATACAGTGGCGTACCTTTCAAACAGTAGACACTAAAGATTTTCATTTTTAGAAATATATGTTTATTGAGGGGAGAGATTATATACATTTAATTCTCAAGGAAATAGATAGGAAAAACTTAATTCCCAACATACTATGAAATATTAATTACCTTTAAACATGGCAGGAATTTTCCATTCTTTAAGACCCTGTAGGGGCGCCTGGGTGGCGCAGTCGGTTAAGCGTCCGACTTCAGCCAGGTCACGATCTCGCGGTTCGTGAGTTCGAGCCCTGCGTCGGGCTCTGGGCTGATGACTCAGAGCCTGGAGCCTGTTTCCGATTCTGTGTCTCCCTCCCTCTCTGCCCCTCCCCCATTCATGCTCTGTCTCTGTCCCAAAAATAAATAAACGTTGAAAAAAAAAAATTTTTAAGACCCTGTAGTTCCAAAGATCCTTTTAAGGATTTAAAATTTTGTCTAAGGGGCACCTGGGTGGCTCAGTCGGTTAGAGGCCGACTTCGGCTCAGGTCATGATCTCGCGGTCCATGAGTTCGAGCCCCACATGGGGCTCTATGCTGACAGCTCAGAGCCTGGAGGCTGTTTCAGATTCTGTGTCTCCCTCTCTCTGACCCTCCCCCATTCATGCTCTGTCTCTCTCTGTCTCAAAAATAAATAAACGTTAAAAAAAAAAATTAAAAAAAAATAATAAAATTTTGTCTAAGACAATACATCATAGCAAACAATCTCCATTATGCAAGACTGTTCATCTCAACTTTTATTAATATCCCTCCAAATTACAGGAAAGAGCTAATCCTCAGCTTAATCTTACACCTAAAAGGGCTACTCGGATGTTCCTCAACTCTTAGATGATCAATTTCTGGGTTAAGATCCAATTACATAAAAAAAGTATCTTTACAATAGTTTCTCAATCTCAGGATAAAAAAAGATGTAAAGAAGTACACATAAAGATCCTCCCACACACAACTCAAACAGGTGGCTTCTGAAAGTTGTGTTTCTCTTAAGATTACCTAGAAATTCAAGTTACATGTGTGTTCCTAGATCTGGGCTTTGGAGAAGAATACAAAACAAACAAACAATAAGACTTCCTGGAAAAGTCACTGGAGTGACATGAACGTCACGGTTATCTTTACTTGCACTGCTCTGGAATGCTTCTCCCTGTCCACTGCCACAGGTAGAATGCCTATACTTGAAAATGAAATTCAAAAGCACCACTGCTCCTGCTCCCGTGCTTTCTGTGCTTCCGTTGATCAAAATAACTTCCCTTCCACTTGTTCCCGGGACTGCTAAGTAACCACCCTGTCTTATTCGAAACTCTCAGGGCTCCTACTATATTCTGCTTGATGCTGGTGTTGAGTATCTGTCATCTCCCAGATAAGTTCCTCAGGGCAGGGGCTTTGTCCCACTCATCTGTATACAGCAGATAAACCATACCATTTCCAAACTTGAAATAAACTGTGGGGTAGAACCAGTATGTGGTGGATGGAGGTCAGATGATGCTCTGTCCCACTAGATTTTAACTCAGAAAATCATATTCAGAAGACTGGTGTCCAGGGCCTCGCTCCCCAGGGGGGAGAGCGGTGCACAGACCTCGGAGCTTGTCAGAAATGCAGCATCTCAGGCCCCCACACAGGTCTACTGAATCAGAATCTGCATTTTCACCAGAACCCCATTAAAGTGCACCTGAGAATCGGAGAAGCACCCTTTCAAGGCAGTGTTTCTCAAGTAATAGACTTTTTGTCCCAAGCAATAGACATTTTTAAAGTAAAAAAACAACTGAAAATAACATTATGTATCAGGTTGTCTACAGCAAATATTGTTTTGTGAAATTTTAATTTTGGGTGTAAGTGTGTATGTATGTTTGTGAATCATTTTGCTACATTAAATGAGTTTCTTGCTGTTGGCTATGGTCTAAAAACTTTGAAAGCCACATGCCCAGGAGGAAACTCAGAAGAACTTAAGAGTTCCTGTGGTCAGGAGCTGGCCTCCACAAAACTTCCCTCTCATTTGCATCTGTCAGAGCTCTGGTAGCAGAAGGAAAGCTGGCCTCTCTAGCACAAACCCCAAATTCACTTTCTGGTGGTTAAAAAAGCTGAAAATGCTTAAATGTCTAGAAAGTAAGAAATTAACACAAGGACAGAGACACAGGTTTGTTGCTGAACAGAACCACAGGCTTGCTCACTATCACAAAGCCGTGCTTGGTGACAGACGCGAGGGGTGGAGCTCAGCTATTTATGAAAACAGTAGTATTTCATTATAATCACAGAGCTAGCCCAAGGGTAAAGTTCGTTCAGGAATTCAGGTTCCATATTTCATGGAACTCCCAGACCCACTCTTGAGGTGTTCCCAATTTCAATTATTTTCAACACAGGGAAAGAAGTCCATTGGCTGCGTTGTGATAAATTATCTCTTAATGGTCTAAAATTGACATCTTGTTGGGGCGCCTGGGTGGCTCAGTCCATTAAGCGTCCGACTTCAGCTCATGTCCTGATCTCACGGTTTGTGAGTTTGAGACCCGCTCAGCCTCTGTGCTGATGGCTCAGAGCCTGGAGCCTGCTTCAAATTCTGTGTCTCCCTCTCTCTCTGCTCCTCCCCAGCCTGCACTCTGTCTCCTCTCTTTCAAAAATAAACACTAAAAAGGATTAAAATAAAATAATTAAATTGTCATCTTGCTTCTTTGCTTACAGAATGGCCATCTGCCTTGTCATGTGAAACTTCTAAGTTACAGAATTGTAAGACCAGCCCTCCCCCTGCACCAAGAAGTCTGCAGGCACCAAACTTTTCATGATTAAAGACAGGAGGCTTCCTTCATTCCCTTTGTAGGCTCTGCAGGTGACAGATGAGCATGAACCATGTCACATAGACGGAAATGCGCTTACTTTGCTGGTGTTACTTAATGTGCTAGACAAGGAGCTGTCCAGATCCAGACTGGCAGAATGTTCCTGTAGGCCTCTGGCTTTATTACCCTACAAAAAGAAAAGCAGTCAAGTTACATAAAGAAAAGCAGTCAAGTTACGCTCCCTTAGGCTTTTGCAAAGGCATCAGCTAGAAGCAGCATGGTCTAGCTAAGCATCTCAGGAAAAATGCATCTAGTGAGAAATGCTGCTGAGCACATACGTGCATTAAGATAACCAACACTGCTGTCTTTTTTTTTTTCTTAACAACACATCAACCTAAATGTTCTTGAGCACCTCGTGGATTAGTCATTTGGCAGGGACGATGGGCAGGAAGAAGAGAGAATCTGTGAAGAAAAGCAAGCGCTAGAGCAAGCACACTCAACACCTCTCTCCCGAGTCACGAGCTGTCACAACCTGCCTGCTGTATGACAATCAGACAACATTCTACTTGGGGGGCTCCCAAAGGTAGCCACCTGGTTTTGTAAATGGATGTTTTTGAATTATCTCTAAGGATGCTGCAAAGTGCTCAGAAATATCTTCAAACAAAATAAAATTCAGTTTTCTTTCAAAAACAAGTATGACTTAAATGGATTGTGTCATGAAATTAAAAAAACGAAAACAGAAACAAAACTATAAGATACTGCAAGCTCCAGAATGGTGTGAAATGTTGAAAGAAAATCAAACTCTGCTTTCTCAGGAGTGCTGTGAAAGGTTATCTGCACCCGTTGGGGTGGGGAACACAGCAGGTAATTTCTTAAGGAACTCCCACATTGGTATATACGTATACTTCGTTCTTCCTGTAGAGCTGCAGTCTGCAAACTTTTCTGTTTAGAGAGCCACACAATAAATCTCTTATCTTAGGCTTTGTGGCAACTACTCAACTCTGCACAAAAGCAAACTAAGGAAACAGGTAAATGAATGGATGTGGCTGGGTTCCAAAACCTTATTTACAAAAACAGGAGGTGGGTGGCGTTTGGCCCAAGAGCCACAGTTCGCTGACCCGCCACAGAGAGTTCCAGACACATACCAGCAGCAGCCGATGGTAAATGGTTTTCTAGGCTGTGCCTGGTGGCACTAGGGAGAACTGGACCCACACTTTACCGTACTCTGTGCCCTTCACAGAGGCCGGCCAATGAAGAACATCCTTTTGGGAAACAAAAAATACCATGGAGTATAAGAGAATTGGTTTTAACCTAAACCAAGTTAAAAAGTGTCGGTAACACTGCTGTAAGATGGAGAAGACATTAAAAAGCTTTTACCCTCCTAGATTTTATAGCAAACACTCATGGCACAAAAGCAAAGATTTAAGGGGCGCCTATCTGGCTCAGTGGGTAGAACATGTGACTTGATCTTGGGGTCAAGTTTGAGCCCCACGCTGGGTGTACAAATTACTTACTTACTAAATAAATAAATAAATAAATAAATAAACAAACAAACAAACAAACAAACAAAATTTTATTTAAAAAGGCAAAGAACTGAATCTTATGTTCTCTTTAAAAGTGATTTTCACTTAAATTAGGAGAGATTATGCTACTTACCCGGGACAAAATACTTTCTAAAGACTCTGTTAAAGATCTCTTTGCTTTGTTTTTCAGCATATCCAGCCTCAGTCGAGTGGCACTAGGTGGTAACTCACTTCCAATATTCTCTGCTGCAATCTGTGATGTCTAAAAAGTGAAACCATGAAAAGTTAAGTAAGTCACTTACAGCTTCCTTCCTTCCTTCCTCCCTCCCTCCCTCCCTCCCTTAAGGAATGATAAGTCTCCAGGATGCATCTTTTTGCCCCCAGGCCATGATTCTGATCCTGTGCCCTCATCTGCTCCTCCACAGCATGGCTGCAGGTCCAGGAACTAGTTTGCCTCGAAGAGTTGCTCTGACCACTCCAAATGAAAGGACGTAAGGTGCTTGGAAACCACTCAATTAACAAAGTTCGAGAGCTCAGGCTCTACGGTCAGATGAGAGACGTGTCACTCACTAACTGACCTTGTACAAGTTACTTTCTCTCTCCTAGCCTTCGTTTCTAGAATCCTCTGTCAACTCAGACCCACCTGAAGATCTAATCATAATGCTGTGTTGTGAGATTAAAACAGGTAAATCATATAAAGCATTGAGCAGAGTTTCTGGCACAAAGGTGGCCATTATTAGCTCTTCAAAGTACATTATAATTTATCTTTGGGGGCATCTCAGAGGTTGAAACAAAATAAATTTTATCAACTGAAGAATCCACTCCATCACCCTAAATTAATCCCCTCGTTGCTTTCTGTGGAGCTCGGTCTCCTCCACTTCTTCCTCTCTCCCTCCTAACTGTGTCTGTCACCCTTTCCCTCTGTGTCCAAGCTTGTCCCCCTAACTGACCACAAGATGAAGCTGACAACGTAATGGCATTTGGATGCCAACTGCTAAATGAGGTTTAATGTTACTCATTAACAAAGAGGTATATTAAAAAAAAAAAAACTACAAAAAACCTCTACATTAAATTGCTTCCTACCTCTATGGAGTCTTGCCTGATTGCTTTCTGCTAGACAATGATTTTTTTTTTTTTTTTTTAAGAAAACCACATGAACGAGCCCATCCTCCAATACTCTAAACTCCGACCATTCTTTGTTGTTACACATTCAAAGCATGCAGCAAAGTGTACAGACTAATACAACAAATCCCACCCCCACCCCCAGCTCTGGCCAAGTGAACATGCAGGTGTCGAGAAGAGTGAGGAGCGCGGGCTCTGGAGCTCTGCCCAGGTGAGATGGTCCTCTGCTGCTTCCTAGCTCTGTGGCCTTGGACAGGTAATTACCCGCTGCCCCCTCGGGTCATCCACCTGCAGACTGAGGACACACAGGGAGCTCTCCTCACAGAGTGCTCACGAGCATTAGATGAATTAATGCACATGAGAGCACTCAGAACATGCCTGATACTCTGTAAATGTCAGCAATCGTGATTATTAGCTAGTGTTTTCTACGTCTAATAGAAAACATGACAGACATCTCTGAAGCCTCCTGGAGCCACTCTCCATTTTTCATCTGCACAAATAAGCCCTCTCCTGAGTCTGGTGTCCGTCAACTCATTTTTTATAACTTTACATATATATATGTATCCATAAAACATATATGATGGTTTACATATAGTGGAAGCTTTACATGAATGTATCGTCCTGTACATACTCTTCCATAATGACCTTTTCTCTTTCAAAGCTGTTTTTGAGATTTATCCACGTTGACAAATGTTCTTTGATTCACTCACTTTAGTTAGAGTGTAGCAGTTCACCGTATGACAACACAATGCGTTCATGTTCCTGTGGTTAAACACAGATTCCCTTCTGTTTTTACAAAGGAGACTGCGCTTCTCTCTCTTGAACAGAGCTCCTTACCACTCAGGTGAAAGGTTTTGCAAGGGAAGTACTTAGAAATGTCCTTGCTGGGTCTCTACGTCTGTGTGTCTTCACATGTACCAGACACTGTCAAATTCTTCTCCCCTAAATGGTACTAATTCATAGTCCCAGCACATGAGAGTTCACTTTTACATGGTATTGTGGGATTTTTAAATTTCTACCGACTTGGCGGATAGAGATGGTCTCTTAATTTGTTTTCCCCTGATTCCTACGTCATCAAGCATTTTTTTTTTATTTTATTCAGTTATTTGCTGGCCAAAGACTTCATGTCTTGTTCCAAACAATGAAATCCTAATTCACCTATGACTGCCACGTTTTTCATGAGGCATAAATGAGAAAGAAAGGTTCTGATAAGAGCTACCTTTTGGCTTTGTCTACTCATCAGCGTTTTACTTCCGTAAGAATTAGAATGTGCATTAAAAGAATGACGACCAGCTTAGGACTTCCCTCAGGGGAGACCATCACTTATCTTTGTGTTTTCACAGGGTATACTGAGCACGCTCTGGACACTTCATGCTTGCTCGCCAAAGAATGAGTGAATGAGCAGTGAGCACCAGGCAGGCCCATGGGAAACACGTGCCTGAGGGAACAGACCCCTTCACCCAATAGTGACTAAGTGCCCGCCAAACATGAGGCACCACGGGCAGGTGCCTGACTCACTGCAGCTGGTCCTGTGCGATCATTTACCAAGGAGGAGCCTGTCCACACTTGAGGCAGCCTCCAGTGCAAAGGGAGGGAGCCACACAGGACCCTCAGGGGCCTGTCCTGGACTCACCACCGGTCCTCTCACACGGCCCAACCCACAACAGACGGGCGAGCTCTGTGCACGAGCGTCTGGAGCCAAGTTTTAAATTCTGCGGCTACACTAAGTTCTCAGGTCAGAACCCACCAACCTGTGGCGCCACAACGTACCTACTAGCGGCCTTATTCATCACAACTAGCACCTAGAAGGGGCTTGAGCGTCCGTCAAAAGGAGGATGGACAAAAGCTGTCGTGTTGGCACAAGGAAGGAAAGGGAAGCGCTGACGCACACAACAACGTGGATGACGAGCAGGGACATCAGGTGAAGTGGAAGAAGCCAGAAACAATAAAGCACATACTGTATGATTCCATCCATTAAAGTCCTACAAAGGCAAAATTAGTCTATGGTAAAAATAATCAAAACCATGGTTGTCTGCAGGGAGGAGTAGTGAGGACTAGAAAAGAGGTCTGGGGGTACATTCTGCCATCCACCTTGATGGGAGTCTGGGCCACCTCAATGTATGAAGACCTCAAAACTCCACAAATGGTACACTCAAGATCTGTGCAACTTACAAGATCTAAATCTCCAAAAACTTGTGAACAAATACTGAGTACAGTTAAAAATGTAGCTACGGGCTAAGGTATTTGGGAATAAAGAGTACTAATATCAGAAATCTACTTTAAAAGTCATCAAAAACAAGGTGATATAATAGACAGACGTACGGGAAAGTAAATATTACAAAATGCTACAAACGGTATAATCTGGATGGTGGGTATGTGAATGTTCACTGTTTCTTTCAACTTTCCTGCATGTCTGAAATCTTTCAAAATAAAATGTCAGAAAAAAACTCTACTGGAAAACGGACCCGGGCAAATCAGTGAGTACTTATAGAACATTTAACTTTGTTAGGTAAGCTCCTAAAAAGCATCATGATTATGATAATGTCCTTGGACCTCAGACACAATGGCTCTGCCATTCCCTAACACGCTGCTTGACTTCTGTTCCCACATCCCCATCCCTAACAATGGTATTAGACCACCCGCCTCAAAAGAGCTGAAGAAGAAATGGAATCATTCATGCAAAAAATTAGAACCTTGTCTGGTACATGGCAAACATTCATTAAGTGTCAGATGAGTGAATACTGTAAGTTTTTTGCACCAGCTCTATATACAAGTGGAAATAATATGTTCATCGACTAAAATGCAACACCTTCTAACTTTATTACTTTACAGGTCTTTGCCCAAACTGCTTCTACTTTTTCCATAAGAACAAAATCTCATTCAGTTTGTTTTCTATTTTACGAAACTGAGTCCTCTGGCAGCTCTCCAACACTATCACTTAGTCACTGAAAAGCACAAACAGATCACTGGCTCTAACGAAGTGCAGCCTTGAGCCTGTGCTCAGTGTCTCTCTCTGTCCACTTTTGAAGACCGGTGGTCAGAGAAGTTCATTGTCAAAGCCATGGTTCTACTCCTCTCTAGGTCAAGTCATGACATGCTTTCAAAGGGTATGGGGATTTATAGGTGCAACAAGAATGTAATGAAATCCATGTAGTTAAAGTACTCCGTAGCATAAAGAGACCAGGAATGTCCTGGGAAATCTCAGAGCTTCATCTGATTCATCTAAAAGCAGCTGCTGTTCTGAAAAGCCTGATCCTCAGAGCCCAAGAGGGTGTCCGGTCTGGGGGAGACCCAACCACAACTGGGAATCGGGGCAACATCTTTACAGGCACAGATGTGAGGGCATGGGATAACAGAATGTTCAGAATCCTCTACGCAAAGTGCTGACAGTTCTGCTTTTTATATTTTAAATTCTTGATGTTTCCAAATGGAAATAAAATTAATTACATGTCTCCTCTGCACTCAACTATGCCCAAATCAAAAAGACACTACTCTGTTCCCTAAATATGAGTCTGTACTTAGGTCAAAACTTTCCATCCACCATAAATGCTTCATTCCCCTCTACTAGCAGTTATAAATTATTTCAAAATTATCAATTTCCTGTTGGAACAAGTTAGGGAAAAACTATTAATGGCACCAAAAAAAAAAAAAAAAGGAATGAAAGCGAGAAGAGAAATAGGTTGAAAAAAAGTAGAGAATTAACTGTGAGCTTAGGCTGGGTGCCCACCCGAGTGAACCGGAGGGGCACAGAACTCCCAAGACTTCCCGTCTTGGGAAGGGAGGAGTGTCAACACATGAAGGCCAGACACACACGCACAGTGCACTGGTGTCGGGGTCCCTGCCAAGAGATGCTACAGTCGGCCGAGGAGATTAAAAACAATGTCAGACACTGTACATAAGCCCTGTGAGCTCAGGAAAGGTACCTGATTGCCAGAGCCAACTGGAAGGTAGAAATCTGGGGACAGCTGCCATCACGTGTGGGTCCACGTGAAACTGCATCACAGTTAGGGTGCCACAAAGGCAGGGGTGTCATAGGGAAGAGGGCAAGGGAGGGGGCAGGCCACTGAGCCTTAAAGCGCCTTTCGGACGTTGTCAGTTGTTTGTTTTTTTTAAAAAGCAATATACTTTTGGGAAATGAAGGATGTTTTGAACATCCTTCAGTGATTTTTCTCTAGATTTTCTGGCTCACAAGGAACTTTAATACAAAATGCACATCTGAAGCTATAACAGTTATCAGGAATTGACTTACATAGAGTCCAAAAGGCATAGGAAAATGGTCTGGGGCACCATGTGTACGGAATCCCAGACTTGGAGCGCTTCCAAGACAGAGACCTGCAGGAAGCCCCAGCTTCTGACCCAGCACCCCGAGACAGAAAAGCTAAACGATGCTTGTGGCCAGGAGAGGAAGGCAGGCAGATTCTGGACCTCCCTCAGGTGAAATGGAATCAGTGCAAGTTCTAGATCTGAAGAGCACACACGCCAGGGTCTCTAACGTCATAACCTAATTTGTCAGAAGTGTTCTCCCTGCATTCACGTAGCATTTATGTCACAAAGACCCTCCAGGGACTTTACAGGATTCTGAAGGCGACCCTGCAACGTCATTCCCATTTTACCAGGGAGAAAGGGGAGGTGACAGAGACTGGCTCCCTCCCTGCAGGTCAAGTAGCCTGTTGTAGCAGTACCTACTCTTAAATTTCATCCCGGAAGCTCTACACCAGTCCTCCTGTGGAGGCACCTGCCCCACTCCCACCACGAGGCCGACACCTCCTCTAAGCACGGTCTCAGTATTCCCAAATTTCCCTCATATGTGCAAGAAATAAAAATAAGATACAGGGAGAAAAAAAGTTTCAGAATGTGAGAAAAAAACCTCAAGATTTTGTTTTACACAGCATCCTGGTAAAATTAAAACAAGAGGGGAAAAAAAAAAAAAAAGCCATACCTGCTTTATCTCCCCAACATGGGTGTGAACTTTTTGTTTCTCTTCATATAAACACCTCAGGAAAGAAATAATCAATTCATTCTCTCGCTGCTCATTCCTTGGTCGCAATTTCTTAAAAAAAAAAAAAAAAAAACCAATATATCACATTTATTTTTAACTGTTAACAAAACGGCTAAACCACGCCTTTGAAAATACAAACAGCTTCCTCCCATCCATCAATGGGTGCTTTTACCCAATCATCTCACCAGGGGGCACCAATGATCCTAGCTAGACAGGGAGACACTTCCTAAAAAGAACAATGGAGCCAGTGAGCCCGATTCACTTTTGACCTCTGATGTCCTCATACCGAAAATAAATATTTCACATCGGACAGAGGCACAGTGGAAATATTTAAGAGATAAATAGTCTTGAAAACAAGAAAAGAGTAAAAACTGTGTAAACATCCAGAGGTCGGAGCTGTTAAGGGCTACATGTTCATAAACTTTCATGGTTAGGGAACTGGAAAGGAAAACAGCAACTGTATCCAGGGTCATGGTTCCATATGCATCAAATGTGATGTTCACCGTGAAGCACTTCTTGCAAGCCCAACAAGGCGTGAACTTGAACACAGTATTTTATGGCATGGATTTCTTTTTCCCCTTTCTTTTTTAAGAACGTTCTCCCTATACCTTTAATTCTTCATATAGGTAGTAGCAAAGCATACCGGACTAGAAATCAGGATATGCAGGTTCTAGGTACTGCCTAGAAGTGTGACCACAGGCAAGTGATTAGCTTCCTCATCTGTTCAAATGAAGATTATGCACAAAATAAACTCCAAGGTCCCAAATTCTCTGGATCTGAAATATCTGTGTTCAGTTTTTAAACACCATCTAATTTAGTGTATTTGTTTCTCTGAATATGAAGAAAAACCTGACTTATTCTGAGGACAAAGCGTCTAGTCTATAAACCTTGAAAATATGTATTTTTCATAACGACGATTATCCATTTTCCTGCTCCTCCTCTCTCCCCCCATCCCAAACTTCTAGCCTGCCCTTCAAAACAAAGTTGGGGTGTAGTACATGAATCAAACATACAAGCATCCAGTCTGGGTCAGCTACACTCTTGGCAAACTCCTCCCCAAGTTAACCGAGAAACAATGATTTTACCCTTTGTGCCATAACTTTTAGAAGCAAAGGTAACACTAACCCAGACCTTCTGGTACTCCCTCTCTTAAGAAAAAGATCATTTAAAATGATAAGTTGTTCCTGTAACTCAAGGAAAATATAGCAAATGATTAGAAGGGGTTGTTTTCACTGAGGACTCCCCGTTCTTTCAAATTTCAGATTTAAGGATTAAATATCTTGGAAGCTAGAACAGATGCTCTCAATCTCAATTCCAAGTCATGAGCCTTCATGTTATGAAGTTGTACATGTTTTACGAATCAACTGGATTTTTCCAAAAAAAGTTCCATCAGATCTTCACCAAAGGAAAGGCACGGTCAAGCACCACAATCCCAACTTTATACCCCAAGAAGATGAACCGTGGTCCATAAGCCCAGGACGCAAGAGGAACTCACTGATTGCCAGCGGGAAGGCAAAATGATACAGCCACTCTGCAAACCAGTTCAACAGCTTCTCATAAAAAACTAAGCATGTTCTTACCATGCAACCCAGCAAGTTACACTGCTTAGTATTTACCCAAACGAGATGAAAATTTATGCCCACACTAAAACCTGCACACCAATGTTTATAGCAGCTTTATTTATTACTGCTGAAACTTACAAGCAACCCAGATGTCCTTCAACAGCGAATAAACAAAGTGTGATACATCCATAAAATGGAACACTATTCAGCACTAAAATAAAAAGAGCTACAGAGCCATGAAGAAACACGGAGGAACTTTAAATGCATGTTGTTACGTGAAAGCCAATCTCCAACACACCGTATAACTACAACTGGATGACATTCTGGGTAAGGCAAAACCATGGAGGCAACCAAAGACCAGTGGATGCCTGGGGACTGGAGGAGGGGGAGGAATGAACTGATGGAGCAGAGGATTTTTAGGGTGGTGAAAAACAATTCTGTATAACCCTATAATGATGGATACGTGCTATTATACATTTGTTAGAACGCTCAGAACTAACAACACTAAAAGTTAACCATCATGTCAACTAAGGACTTCAGTTAATAATAATGTATCCAATATGGACTAATCAGTAGTAACAAATGTACCACACTAGGACAAGATATTAACAACAGGGAAAACTGGCCTGGGGGTAGGGCTGGGGTATGAGGGGTCATATGGGAACTCAATATTTTCTACCCACTTCTTCTATAAAACTAAAACTGCTGCAACAAAATAATAATAATAATAATAATAATAATAATAATAATAAAGTCTTATTTTTTTTTTTAGAAAAAGTCCACGAAAGAGGAGCAGACAGGAATTATGAGAAGCCTCTGAACAGACAGCCAAGAAGTGGAACCATTTCTTCTTCCATATCTTTGGTTAAATATTTGAAGCTGTTCTCAACAAGAAAAAGTGTATTTTTCTTAGAGAAATTCTGTGCAATAGCTTATATCAAAAGTATCAATAAAGGCTTAAAAATGAGTAAGAAGGAAACTTTTTTCCCTCAAAATACACAAGAATTTGTTCAAAGGGACAGAACATGAGACAGCTGAGCACAATGTACAAACACAGTCACTGCCCATTAAAAACTGAAACCAAGGGCCGGAGACTGCGTCCCGGGGCTTGTTAACCTCCACAGAGGGAAGCCACTGTTCACGATGCCCTACAAGGTCAAGAAATAAGGCCTTCCTTAAAATAATTGAAACATGATTATGGGCTACACTCTTCTACTGAGTGAAAATGATTAGCAAGGTGCCTGCTCCTTAATACCCCTCATGTGACTTCACCACCCTCCACCGTGGCAAATCATTACTTTCCACAGGTGATTTAATTTTACCAAACTTCATTAGTCAGAGAGACAAGCCTGAGGAAAATGACGGGGACTTGAGCCGGATGACATCTCTTTGTAGTCAAAAATTAACTTAGTTTCGACAAAACCAATCTGCAGTGTCAGAAGTGACGACAGTAGGTACCTGGGGACAATACTCAGGGGGGATTCTGAGGGGCTGGAAACGCTCTAGGTCTTCATCCTGGTGCCGGCTGCACAGGTGTATTCATCGTAGCACAATTCACTGAAGTACACCACCGATTTGTGTTTTCCTACAGTTATATTTCATTAAATACAAAACAACTGACTGTCAAAAATAACCAAGCCAATTCTGCTACATGCTTCTTGACCTTATTTCTACGAGAGGGCCTATGAACTGGTGGTAAGAGTCACTGAATTTCCAACACTCACTAATGAACACCACGATGCTGAGAAAGTCTGTGGTCTTCTGAGGGTACTCCTTAAAATGGTAGTGCTCACTTGGGACGCTACATTCTGACATCTTTTCATAAAGTTATAATCAAATCTTAAATGAAATCATTTTAAAGCCGTGGAAAATCCAAAGAAGTTGATATTCTTTACAAAGTAGAGAAAAAGTTCTTCCATTCCTCTTTAAAACTTGTGAAAAATCATGTTCTTTAATCCATTACTGACATCTCTGAGTAGGAACCTACTCGACTTACCTACTCAGCATTAACTCAGCCACTCCCTGAAATACACTCACTCAGATGAGAAGACGTGGGCTTTTGAGGCACTTCCCTTCCTTGCCCTACTTCGTCTTGAAAGCCCTCTGGGGGACCGCCTGATCCGGCTCACTCAGCCAGCAGCAGGGCAGCATGGGAAGACGGCAAGACCCCGTGGGCCCCCCACTCAGGAAGATATGCGGGAAAATTATAAGACCTGTTTCATGAACTCATAAATTAAAAAGTGGCTCTCCGTGTCATGAGTCTTCTTACAAAGGGTTAATGGGCCAGCACATTCAGGGGGCACAAAGCTCTCTCAGCACGCTCACGGTCAGCTCCCTGCAGCGGCGACCATCTCCTGCATCACGGCCATTACTGACGGCTTGCTCTTCATGTCCTGTGTGCTCTGCACTTCTTTCTTTGCATTAAGCATTTATTTACAAAAACACTGCTTATGTATGCTTTAACAACTACATAATCATGTGCCACTAATTTCAATCGTAATTCCATTTGTCTTACGAAAATTTGCCCTTGGAGAGTTCTTCAGAAACAAAATTACCCTCCAGGAAAGACGGTACAAAGGAACGTATTAACCACTCTGTTTACAAAAGGGATCCTGACATTGAAAAGCCACCTTTTTTGTTATGATCGTTCTGAAATGTACTATTTTCAAACACATTAGCCGGCACTGCTACCTAAAAAGAAATCAATGACTTGGTTTATAAAACGTCATTTCAGAATCAAGAATGGTCATTGGAAATAATTCAATGAAACCTTCAGGCCGTTAGAGGAAGAGATCCATGTCAAATTTGTATCATTCAAGGAAAAGCCACACTTATGACGATGGAGGACATAGTAAGAGCTGGCTTTTCACAACAGTGACCTTCCTTTGGTCTTTAAGCTATTCAACTTACAGAGCCTTCTAGAACAACACATGGGGGCCCCAAGATATTAACTACAGGCATTTTTAAAAATAAATAAACCTTGTCTCCACTCGTCTCTTAAATCTCTTTTCTGTATGTACTGGGTATCTAAAAACTGACACGGGCCAAAGAGAATCTCAGAATCACATCCATTAGGAATTTCTCATTGCTGGACAATATTTTATTACCTATGCTGGTTAATCGCACTGTTTTTGGTCAGATGAATCAGCACAGGTAATAAAGTGCTACATGGTGCTGTCTAAATAACAAATAAAACTCACATTGGGGGAGGAATGTGCATCTTCAAAGCTTGCTGCAAAGACATTCCCTGAAGTGGCTTTGATAGCACCAGACCAGCAAGCGGATGGACCAACACCAGAGGAAAAGGCCCGGCTTCCACTGTAAATGCATTAACAATTGGAAGCAAACTGTCCATTATGAATTCCAAGTACAAATCACACTAAGTTTTTCTGAGTACTGTGTACTCAGAACTCTAAAGACCCTTTACGTAAAAACAAGGGAGCACCTGGGTGGCTTATCAGTTAAGCGTCAGACTTCAGCTCAGGTCATGATTTCACGGTGCAGAAGTTCAAGCCCCACGTCAGGCTCTGCACTGACATAGCAGATCCTCTGTCCCTCTCTCCCTCCCCCACCCCCCATTCAGTTTCTCTCTCAAAAACAAACATTTAAAAAAAAAAATGGCATGTCTCAAGTCGATTCAAAAGAAAACAAAATTTAAAGGCAAGTGGAAATTGTGAAAATTACATTCTAAGCTATTTATGAAAGTAAAAAACCTTCCCGTGCTTTCCTTCTACAAACACATGCCAATCCTACCACGGGAGAACAAGGGTGATGAAGAGAATTCTAATGGGATTAAAGAGAAAAAGACAGTCTTCTAACTCTTCACTCTAACAGAAAACAGATCATGGGCCTGGTGGGTGGAGTCCTGCAGCCAGTGTGGAGACAGACAGAACCTGGAACCCAGAGCTACGGGCCTTCTGGATTGGTTTACTGACTGCTCTGCAAGGCCCTTTCACTCTGCTCCCCACACAAAAATATTTATCCTTTGTTCTGATGTGCCTTCCTCCCTACAAAAGTGCCAGGAAACCATTGAAAATGCCCCTCAGCTAAAGCAGACGGGAAATTTTTGATGAGCTCATTAAAGATTCAGAACGAACACACTACGGGCATGCCAGCACACACAGCACGGTTTCCCGGAGAGACGCCGCATCTACGCGCAAGGATAAGAGCGAGTTTCCAGGTTTAACAGAAAACTGACGAGCTGGCTTTTTTTGCATTTTTTTTTTTTTACAGTTAGGTTTGATATATAGCTCTAAGTAGACAACATCATGTAAATTTGTGTCCAACACTGAGTAAGAGGGGAGGAACGGTTAATGACCAAGTTCACGTACAAAATACTGTCTCTGCCGACTCCCACACTTCGGGGCTGAAACCCCGAGCAGGAAGGGGCTGGCAGGAGTTTCTTGTAGAGCAGAGAAACTCTTGTAGAGCTTGGGGACCAAAGTCCAGGTCTTCTGTCCCCTGGGCTGAGGCTCTTTCCACTCTAGAATTTCCTTTCTTTATTCTAAAATATTTTTTTTTTCATTTTTTTTTTTTCAACGTTTATTTATTTTGGGGACAGAGAGAGACAGAGCATGAATGGGGGAGGGGCAGAGAGAGAGGGAGACACAGAATCGGAAACAGGCTCCAGGCTCCGAGCCATCAGCCCAGAGCCTGACGCGGGGCTCGAACTCACGGACCACGAGATCGTGACCTGGCTGAAGTCGGACGCTTAACCGACTGCGCCACCCAGGCGCCCCCATTCTAAAATATTTTTAAGGGAGTCCTCTTTCTGGGTTAGTTGCATTCACTGTGGAAACCAAGACCTGGTGTCAGTCTGCCATCTGACCTGCCCCCACCCCCCTCCCTACCTCCCACTCCATCCCCCACCTCTGATTGGGGCTTAACTTTAAAGCAAGAGGAACTCAGGGCCATTTCCTCAGAGCTGTGACAGCTCTGGTTTGCGATTTTTCATAAGTAACATCTCTCAGGTAAGCTGCTTACCTTTTCCTTCAGTCTAGAAATTGAAAAACTGGTACTTTACCTGAACCTCCTCAAAAATAGTTGCTTGCTCCTGATTAGTCAACATCGTCAGGTGTTTCTGGAGTTCTAGTTTGGTTTTGGAAGAATTCATTCCTATTAAGAAGAGATACAAGAAAACACTCTAAGTACAAGTTCTAAGGCAGAGTAAAACTTCCATACTCGAGCTCTTTATGTTCTGACCCACCTACTTCAAGCTTTTGACATTTTACAGACATTCTACTTGGTAACAATGTTAATGACGCCGATGGGACAACAGACATTTTTTTAGCTGAGCCCTCATGTGCCAGGCACTGTCGTAAACATTAGGCCCATATTATGTAACACTGGAACAATCCATGAAGAGGACTTAGTTATCCCCATTGTACAGTTAAGAAAACTGAGACCCAGAGGCTTATGTGATTTCCCAAGACCACCACGTTGGATTCTACCTTGCATCTGTGTGGTTCCAAATTACTTTTTTCTCCACCAGACCATGTTAACACACCTCACACAATCAGAACCTCGTCCTCAGAAAATAAATTCTTGTGAGTAATTATACATAAACCCTGATGATTCTTCTCAAGGGAAAACAACTACGGTCCGTGTGAAACATTTTCCTCTTCCTTGGTAGACTCCTTCCCAATAAAATGGATTATTCATGTGGCTAACAACTTTCATTTTATCACCACTGCCTTAGTAACAGTCGTAAGACCATCAGATGACCATCACAGAGGATTAGGAGGAAAAGTGACAAAGTCACAATTTCAGTGCCAGTGAGACTCTGATACTTCACAAAGTGCTTTCTCCACACATACATGGCTTAGATTCTATTTTGCCTTTTCTTGGTGCCAGAGATCAATGTCACACATGCTGAGAAGATCTGGAAACAGGCTGACCTAACCACCATGGGAGAACTGCCGCCCGTTACTTTGATTCCAAGGGCAGCCCTCGCCTCACCCACCTGCTGCAACTCTCTCCCCTCCTCCTGAGGCTGGGCACCCGGAAGGTGCCCGGCCAAGGCCACACACTCCGGAGAACACTGTGAATGCATCTACATAGCTAAGGATGGCTGGGAGAGGATACCTCTGAAATGTCAGAAATCAAGCCTCTGTTTTAAGAGGCATCTGCTGAGGTCTAGAGGAGCTAGGCGACTTGTCAAAAGTCAGGAGGCCAATTAGTAGCTGCCCTCCCTCCCCCCCCCGACCCCCCACTGCAGCTGGACACGGAGCCCCTCCCCCCCCCCCCTCCCCCTCCCCCACCGCCTCCCTGCTAACAGCTCTGGTGGAAGCTGTTCCTCAAACTGCAGGGGCTCTCTCAGCTTCCAGGATGTCCTTCCTCCCAGCAACACCACCCCCCCATTTTCTGCAAGAAAATAGTCTAAAAATAAAAGCCAAGGTTTCTTAAGTGATTGCCACGCCACTATGCTCAACATTACGTGTATCACCTTCCTCAAAATACTCCCTGAAGTGGGTACCATGTTTAGTAATCTCAATGCATAAATGAAGAAACTGAGGCACAGGAAAGTCCAGTATTTTGCCCTGGGCCATCAGCTAGGTCGGGGACAGAGTCAGACTCTGAACCATGTTTTTTGCCTCCACGAGCAACTCTTCAAACTCTCCACTGCCTCCCTTTGCCCAAAGAGTCAAGTCGCTTGACACACAAGTAGCTTCAATACCAAAGTGAATTCAGAGGAAGGTGAGAGTATAGAAAAGACAGATGGGTTTCGTCAGGGCACAATTCAGGTGTTCTTCCGGCAAGCTGAGAACACAGAGATGCTTTTACTGTGCTGTAACTACTTAAATGTTGAATCAAAACGGTATTTAAACTTAGGAGTAAAATAAGCAGTCATCACTAACCAAAAGCCCTCCCTGCAGGCCTTGGACACAATGTAAGCATCCTATTTTGGAAAAACGTGGCTTGTCCGATGAGACACTCACACGCAGAGGGAACCCCTGGGCTCCACGAAGAATTCACCTAATTATATGAGAGACCAACTGGGCAGCAACACAGACTATTCACATTCGGCAGGTATGAAGAGATGCCTTACCAAGTTTTATCCTTGCCTCCAGGATGCCTCAGTGCATGCCCCACATCAAATCAGAGGTGAGGTTTCTCACGCACGCAGGCCCCGGTGCCTGGCTGTCTACCCCATGTTCACAGCACACTTTCCACAGGGCTTCTCAACACCTTGCGCTGCCCCGGGTGGTTCCAGCAGCACGGACGTGGCACCCTCAACACGATGCTACAAGGCTTTACCAGGGAAAAGGGACACGAGGAACAACACAGAAACAGGGAACCAGAGTCCAGGGCATTCGAAAGCTACGATCCCTCCGGCCGGGTTGTTAGTGAGGCCACCTTCACACTGCTGACGCAGAAAAGGCTCTTATTAAGGGAGGTCTGATGAATGACTTTGCTTTGCCAGAGGCAAACCTGGACAGCAAAGGAAAACCTCAGTTCAACCTTTTTTCCTTTTCGGTGAACATACAATTCAATCTAGCAATTCCCAAAACGCTCCGCTCAACTTTAAAATGCACAAAATGCTAGATCCGCACCACTAGGACTTGTGCAGACTTCCAACCCAGACCCGCTTACACGACGTGAGCGGCGCGTCCGCCGTGGTTGGTGTGCACAGCGTACGTATTCTTGTCGAAATCCCGGGGCACAGACTGACGATTTCAACCGATCAAGAAAGCAGCCTTTTAAGTCCTTCTTCTTGTGGCCACGTCACTGGTCCGTGAACAGAGTGCTCGGCCAGAGCCTGACTTCCTATGAGAACTACTCTTACGGGAACCTACAAGGAGCTTTAATAAACCGCTTCATTCTACTTATTAGGAACACAATATAGCAAAAAGCACGGGCTTCCAAGTGTTCCTAAAAGCATCTCCCGCCTAAGGATGCCTGTAACGCTGTGTCATCTATACTTAAGAAATGCTTCCCATCAGGGTGGGCACTACACAGCCTCCCAGCCTTCTACCTGTGCTACTGAGGATGTTTTTACATGAGCAGAGCTCTCTGCTTTGCTTGGATTTTATCAGGTAAAAAAGACGAATTAAATAATAATTCCAACACTACAGCAGCAAAATCCCCACCTTGACGGAACTTTTCAGCTCTCACTTTCTGAAAGCTAGGCCAGACCACAGAAAGATTTATCAGGTGGAACTCTGGAATCCTTCCAGCTCCTGCAGATCTCGGTCTGCTTTATCTTCAGGGCCAGAGTCCTTGTTGGCTTCTTAATAAGCTCTCAAGGGACATTTCTGTCATCGTTTACCTTATCTTGACAACCACTAAGGGAAGGGTTAGGGATCCTTTCAGATGAGATCTCTAGGTAAAGCAGAACTTTTCTCATTTCCAGCTCTATTTTGCATAATGTCAGCAAACAGTAGCAACTAGGAAAGCACAGTTGAAAATATTAATCATTTTGATTTATTTTAAAGAGCACTATAATGTCTGTAAACGAATCTTTGAAACTTAAGATGATAACTGTCAATCCATCTCACTTAAAAAGGGAAGTCAAGGGGCGCCTGGGTGGCGCAGTCGGTTAAGCGTCCGACTTCAGCCAGGTCGCGATCTCGCGGTCCGTGAGTTCGAGCCCTGCGTCGGGCTCTGGGCTGATGGCTCAGAGCCTGGAGCCTGTTTCCGATTCTGTGTCTCCCTCTCTCTCTGCTCCTCCCCCGTTCATGCTCTGTCTCTCTCTGTCCCAAAAATAAATAAAACGTTGAAAAAAAAAAATTAAAAAAAAAAAAAAAGGGAAGTCAAATACCACTTCACACCCACCGGATGGTTATCCTAAAGAAAGTAACACGCGTGGGCAAGGATGTGCAGAAACTGGAACCCTATGCACTACTAACGGGAGTGCACGACGCTGCAGCCACTGTGGAAAATATAACGGCGGTTCCTCAAAAAATTAAATGTGTAATTACCATATGATCCAGCAATTCCACATGTGGGTATATTCCCAAAAGAACTGAAAGCAGGAACATGAACAGATACTTGCACACCAACTTGAGAGCAACATCACTCACAACAGCCAAAAGGTGAAAACAACTCAAACGTCTATGGACAGATGAATAGATAAATGTGGTATAAACACAAAATGTGTTACTAGTCAGCCTTAAAATGATATAAAATCCTGACACACGCTACAACGTGAATACACCTAGGAGATGTTATGCTAAATAAGCCAGTCGCCAAAGGAAGCATGAGTCCACTTAGATGACACACTAGGGCCATCACATTCACAGAGACAGAAGTAGAGTGGTGGTGGCCAGGGAGCAGGGGAGGGGCAGAGGGAGTTACACTTCAGTTGATTCTCCACTTGGAAAGATTACAAAGCTCCAGACACAGAAGTCGGCAATGACCACATAACAACGTGGATCTACTCAATGCCACTGAACTGTACGCTTTAAAAAGGCTAAAATGGTCAGTTTTATATCACATATACTTTCACCACAATTACGCAAAAAGGAAAATGAAATCCAAATAGCAATTGTGTTCTTCTCTACACAAGTAACGCTTATTAGGAGTATTCTAGGGGCGCCTGGGTGGCTCAGTCGGTTGAGTGTCTGATGCTTGATTTCGGCTCAGGTCATGATCCCAGCGTTGTGGGATTAAGCCCCGCGTCAGGCTCTGCGCTGAGTGTGGAGCCTGCTTGGGATTCTCTCTCTCTCTCTCTCTCTCTCTCCCCCTCCACCCCTTTGCCCCGGATCATGCTCTCTCTCAAAAATAAAAATAAAACAAAGAAGTATTCTACAGACATAGGAAATTATCACATCTGTTTTGATGCTTACAAAAACATAGGCCGTTTAAATCCTGTGACTTTCCTCAGAATCGCACACAAAGTTTTAGAAATCCTCCTATAAATGGAAAAAAATGCAAAAGCAAGGAGAGAGAGGAAATGAGCCACTTCAATGGCAGGGTCCCTCAGAGGATCATCATCACAGGCTTACCTTGTTTTCTGCCCCTCGCCGCAGGCCCAGAAATGGAGCATCTCTCTCTTCCCACCTGAGGAAGATTCCCTCTCTCGTTCAGGAAAGGTCTCGTCTGTTCCACTCTGACCCACCCGGCCCTTGTGGCTCTGGATGTGCTGAAACCTCCCCAGCTGCACAAAGCTGGGTCAGCTGGCTCTCCCCCCCCCACACACCCCCCACCCCGGCACAGCCTTCTCCTGGGGTGCAGCTGAGGGGCAGGTAACAGGGAGGGCTTTCCCTCACAGGAGGACTCCTGGACTCACACACTAGTTTACCCCTACACTTCACTCACTCTTGATTTACTTCCCCCTAAAATGTGCATATGACCAATCCCCTTTCCTCTCACAATGCGCTAAAGATCAAATTGGTAACAGTGCAAGTTACAGCACCTCGCACAGTGCCTGGCACACCTTAAATGCTCAACAAATATCAGCTGCAAATGGTAACATTTACCACAGTTTCTCCTGACACCAAATTTCTAGAAACTATCATCCACACTCAGTCCTTTTTACTCTTTCCCTTCGGCTCAACTGCAACCCTCCTTCTGCCCCCTTCACTCCATGAAAACTGTTCTGGCAGAGGTTACTGATGACCTTGTAATTGAAACACTCGGTGGAAATTCTTCAGCTCATATCTTAACTGGATCTCTTCATAGCAGCCAATAGGGCTGATCACGCACAACCTTGATAAATGCCATGCAGCCGGTAGGCAGCTTCTGGCTCTCTACTCAGAGCCCCTTAGAGGGGCGATGGTAGACAGGGATGTGGATGTTTATCTTCAAATCCTGAGCACCGAGCACAGTACAGAAGACACCCTCAGCATACTGACAGTTCACCTGTAATCCCTGTAACTAACATGAGCCTCAGGCAGAACCTTTCAAGGAATGCAGACTGCCTAAGGTTTTCCTGGGACCTTTAAGTCCCGAAATGTTAAGGCTTGAAGGGGGCCCCTACTCACCCTCTATCCGCTCACACAGCTTGTGCAGGCCCTGCAAGGGGCAGCCCTCACACAGCTGGGCAGGTGTTTTAGCCGTCTGCTGCACCGCAGCCACAGTGAAAGCCTGCTTCAGGGTCATCATAATCTCATCAACCTGATCAGAGAGAAGATAGCAAAAAGCCCATTTAAGATGAGTGGAGCTGGGGCCCCTGGATGGCACAGTCGGTTAAGCGTCGGACTTTGGCTCAGGTCATGATCTCACAGTTTGTGGGTTCAAGCCCCACGTCAGGCTCTGTGCTGACAGCCTGGAGCCTGCTTCAGATTTTGTCTCTCCCTCTGCCCCTCCCCTGTTCATGCTCTCTCTCAAAAATAAATAACAACAACAAAAAGATGAGTGGGGCTGAGGGGTGCCTGGGTGGCTCAGTTGGTTAAGCCTCCCACTTGGCTCAGGGCATGATCTCATAGTTTGTGATTTGGAGCCTCATGTCAGGTTCTGTGATGACACTGCAGAGCCTGCTTGGGATTCTCTCTTTCTCTGCTCCTCCTCTGCAGGGAGGAAGGGATAGATGGATGGATGGAAGGATGAATGGATGAATAAAGAAAGACATAACTTAAAAAATAAATAAACTCAAAATAAATAAATAACTTAAAAAAAAGATGAGTGGGCTGAGATTTCAGGACTCTGCAAAGACTGAGTATTTGAAGATTTGGGGGGGACCACTAATCACTGACAAACATAGTCATTATCGTAATATCTGCTAGGATTATAGTCTTAAAAACACTACCTAGATGTTCAAAACGCTTAAATGAGCTAAGATAAAAACTAAAACCATAAATTAAATACTGACAAAAAAGCCAACTCCTCTGGACCAAAAATCCAAAATGACATTTTTTAACGCTGGGCCAGAGGGCAAAGTGAGCAGATTCCACAAAAAACAATGAAAATTGAAGACACATGCCCAAATAAGTCTTGTATGTATACTAGCTAATTGTTGAATAGTCATGATGAATAACTGAAGCCAAATAATGACACACTGATGAAGCTATATGGTTTGCTAAGGGAAGAAAAAAATCAGTGAGGTTGAAATTCCACATGAATAAGGTTTCCAGGGGAGAACTCTCAGTCGCACTTACCAGAGCCTCATTTGTGCACTGAAACACGTAACAGACGAAATGAAAGCCTCCGCCCCCTGAAGCCTCTCGGCAGATAAACCCGAAATGGTCCACGTGTCTAATACCCTGTTGAAGGCAGGGAAAAGAGGAAGGAACATTGAGCTGTATCCACAAGACGCACAACTGTCAGAGGGCAACTTAAGACTGACACAGCACAGTCTGACTGACCGGAGCACTATAAAATTAGTTTCTCAGATTTTCTGAAGCACAGTTGATACCAAACGTTACATTAGTGTCAGGTGCATGATGCAGGAATTGGATCAGTCTGCGTGTTATGCTATGCTCACCACCAGTGTAGCTACCATCTGTCACCATCCAGTGCGATTAGGATACCCCTGACTATACTCCCTAAGCTGTACCTTCCATGCCTGGGACTTATGCATTCCACAACCGAAAGCCTGTATCCCCGACTCCTCTCCCCTCTGGCAATCATCAGTTTGTTCTCTGCATATTTGGGTCTAGTTCTGCTTTTTGTTTACTCATTTGTTTTTTAGATTCCACATATAAGTCAAGTCATGTGGTATTTGTTTTTCTTGGATTTATTTCCCTCAGCATAATACCCTCTAGGTCCATCCATGTTGTCACAAATGGCAAGAGCTCCATCCTTTTCATTGCTGTGTAATATTCCAGTGTGTGTGTGTGTGTGTGTGTGTGTGTGTGTGTGTGTGTGTGCGTGTACATCTTCTTCATCCATTCATTTATGCGCACTTGGATTGCTTCCATATCTTAGCTACTATATAAATAAAGCTGCAATAAAAATAGGAATACACCTATCTTTTTGAATTAGTGTTTTGTTTCTTTGGATAAATACCCAGTAGTGGAATTACTGGATCACATGGTAGTTCTATTTTTAATGTTTTGAGGAACCTCCATACTGTTTTCCACCATGGCTGCACCAATTTACATTCCCACCAGCAGGGTGCCAAGGGTTTCTTTTTGTCCACATCCTTGCCAACACTTGTTTCTTGTCTTTTTTATTTTAGCCATTCTAACAGGTATAAGGGGATAGCTTACTGAGATTCTGATTTGCATTTCCCTGATGACTGTGATACTGAGCATCTTTTCATGTGCCTGTTGGATCTCTGTATATCTTCTTTGGGAAAATGTCTATTCAGCTCCTCTACCTGTTTTTCAATTAGATTATTTGTTTTTCTGGTGTTAAGTATTTTACCTATTTTGCATATTAACTCCTCACAGGATATATCATTTGCAAATATCGTCTCTCATTCAGTAAGCTGCTTTTTTCATTTTGTTGTTGGTCTCCCTCTCTATGTAAAAGCTTTTTATTTTGGTTTAATGCCAAAAGTTTATTTTTGCTTTTGTTTCTCTTGCTGGAGGAGATACCTGGAAAATTCTGCAATAGCCAATGTCAAAGAAATTACTGCCTATATTTTCTTCTAGGAGTTTCATGGTTTCATGCCTCACATTTGGGGCCTTTGTTCCATTTTGAGTTTATTTTTGTGTATCGTATAAGCAAGTGGTCCAGTGTCCTTCTCTTGCATGTAGCTGTCCAGTTCTCCCAGGGCCACTGTTCAGCAGATGGCCTTTTCCCCACTGTATACTCTTGCCTCCTTTGTCACAGACTAATTGACCATACGATTATGGGTTTATTTCTGGGCTTTCTATTCTGTTTCACTGATCCATGGGTCCATTTTTGTGCCAGGACCATACTGTTTTGATTACTACAAGTCTGTTGTCTGTCTTAATATCTGGAATTGCGATACCTCCAGCTTTGTTGTTCTCAAGATTGCCATGGCTATTTGGGGCCTTTTGTGGTTCCAGACGATTTTCTCAGATATTTTAAATATCTAAAAACATCTCTCAAATATGAAGATTAACAGTGTTCTCCTAAAATGTTATTCTGGTTACCCCTATAATACAAGAACAACTGAAAACCAGAGTTTTTACTGTTCATTTTAGTACTAAAAGGAAGTGCAGAAAAGTGGACACAGAAAGAGGAGAACTTTTCTTAGGTATTAAAGAAAAACTACCTCAAAAATCCAAAGTAGATAAGAGATTAATGAAGAAACACAACTACATGCGCACACACACACATGCAAACACAGTCACAGAGCTTAAAAAAAAAGTTTTAACACACATTTGTACTCCTAAAACACAAGTACTTAACTGGTATTAAGAATGAGTCACAAAGCATACACACAGAGAGTAGAGAGGCTTTTAAATGTAAGATATTAAGGCCAGGGTTGTACGCTACTGTTTCTCAAGAGCTCTTCTGAATAAATATGTAAACTTGTTTTGAAAGTATCAGCTAAGAGGCACCTTGATACAGATAAGACCTAGAGCATAATTATTAATACGTGAGTATCTCCAGAAAGCACCAGCATGCAGAGATACAAGTGCTATGAACTTGAAGTTCGGGTCGTCATGTCAACTTGTAAGCTGCACCCTTTAGGAAATGATAAAACTGTCATACGAAAAACCAAACCTTAAACATTAACATTTCAATAGAAATAGCAGCAAATTGAGATTAAATTCTGTGGATAATCTCAGGCTGAACATTTTCCAATAAATGGGCAATCACTGACATATCTCAATCAACGCTCCCCAACAGCAAGGTAAACACATGCCAGGCATTAATTCTCTGGGGAAGAGGATTTGGAAAAATTTATTTTGCAAATGGTTCCCTATCCAACTACAAAAGGAACATTCTTTATTTTCACATTTTGGGAAAAGGGTTCAAAAGAGAAATTTTTTTTATGTAGATCATGTTATAAATCAGCAATGAGATTTTTGTTACATCTAGTTATGAGAAAATGGAAGTGAGGAAATGAGAAGCCGGACTTTTTAAAAAATAGCCGAACAATGACTTTAAATGACCTCATATTTGTTAGGAAGATCCTGAATACAACTGACATAGCTTATTATAACTGATTCTCCAGAATCTCTCTATGAAACACGCCTAGGGAGACTATCAAGAAAGAATCAAGTAGGCATTGTATTCTGAGGAAAACATCCTTAAAGATAATCACTAATTCAAAGAAGAAGAAATAATGACTGGCACCCAAAAGAAGTGAAGAATTTTTATACAGTAGAAATGAGCACCTATTTAAAAACATTTACATGTATATATATGAATACATATAGTAAAACACGCACACACACATCTGGAAATTGTGACTACAGAACGTTACCACCAATAATTGAAAAAAGAAAAGTAGATGATGTATTCTCTCCAGATTACCGTTGCTGACAGCAAACTTAACTTCAAAATTATATGTAAATTTTGCCTTAATACACCAAATCGAAGAAGAAATGCAAGATCCCAAATCAAGTACACCCAGAAAGTGTACATCTTGCAACCTTTTAGCACTTCTGTTGAATGACAGATAATAAAAGAATTCATTAAAAATTCAAATGCCAATGAACCAATAACCCATCTCCATTTACCTGAGAGCAAAAGGATATTTCCTTAAAGTTTTTCTCCAATGCTATTTTTTTGGTGTCAGGACTGATGAGGTAAACTTCAGACTGGCCAATCTTAAAAGACAAAAAAAAGAAATCAGTTTTTCATGAAAATTGAACTCAAATTTATCATACAAACATTCTTGTGTTGTGACCTATGGAAATGCAGAAGAAGAGGGGCAAGCTCTTCTAAGGTTCAAGTTCACTGCAAGTTCAAGTTGCAAGTTCACTGCAGAGGATGACCAGCTCCTGGGGCTCCGGTTTACCCTGGGGATTTCAGGCAGCACCTCACGTGTGTGAGTACATCCACCTGTGTAAGGCAGCGGTCTTCTTTTTTTTAATGTTTATTTATCTTTGAGCGAAACAGAGAGAGAGAGAGGCAGAGCATGAGTGGGGGAGGGGAAGAGAGAGAGGGAGACACAGAATCAGAAGCAGGCTCCAGGCTCTGAACTGTCGGCACAGAGCCCAACGTGGGGCATGAACTCACAAACCGTGAGATCGTGACCTGAGCCGAAGTCGGACGCTTAGCTGACTGAGCCACCCAGGCGCCCCTAAAGCAGTCTTCTTTGAGATGAAAGAACCAAATATCCAAAAGTTAGCAACCAAACCTCAGATGCCACATCTCCCCTTTGTAAGAAGTGAGGTGTCTATAAAAGCGAATCTTCCAGAAACAGTTCTCTTTTGAAACTTCCAAAACACTTTCTAATGACATTTTTTTTTTTTTTAACTGCAAAGTCTTTTAGAATTACTGTTAAAATAAGCTACCATGGTTGAGTACATACTATTTGTTAGGCGTTCAAATACCACTTACTTGACTTTTTAAAGTTAGAGCATTAGGGCCTCCTGGGTGGCTCAGTTGGTTAAGCATCTGACTTAGTCTCAGGTCACGATTAGGATCCTCAGGTTAGGATTCTCTCTCTCCCTGTCTCCCTCTGCCCCTCCACAGTTCACTCACACACACGCTCGCTCTCTCTCTCTCTCAAAATAAATAAATAAACTTAAACAAATTAAAAAAAATAAAGTTAGAGTATTAGCATATGTTAACACTGCCTTACAGCTTTGGGTCAGCACAATAAACGCCATTACAGCAGAAGACTGTGTTGCCACAACCCATCCCTGCCTCAAGGGCCTTCTCATTTGCTGCTCCCTGAATTCACGATACTCCTACTAGCAGAGTATCTAGTTGGCCACACTGAACCTCTGCTCAGTGGAAAATCACTTCCTCCAAGGAGCCTTCCTGGAATCCTTAGATATTCTCACAGCACCCTCTACTTCCTTCTCCTTTGTGGCATTTATCACAACTGTAATGAGGCCATTACTTGTACAATCGGTTGTCAGTCCCCCTTACTGGAATCTACCTTCCATGTGGGCAGAGACCATGGCTGCCCTATTCACTGCTGTGACTTCTAGCATTCTGAAAGGGACCCTACACACAGCAGTCACACACTAAGTACTTGAAAATACATGCGCTGAGTAGCTTTCACAATGACACCACTATCTTTTTAAATACAGATCACAGACTAAAAGCCTGAATGCCAACATAGCTCTTTTCAGTACACTGGTTAACAATGAAAACAGCCCTATTTACCCACTGACACATCGTCTTCATCTTAAACCTGCTTACATCCAACAACCCATTAGCCTAAGTGGCAGCCTCCTTACCTGTCGGCCATCTCACTGTGCTGAGTTAGGCACAAAAACATTACACTTATGGTAATTTTGCTCTCACTAGAATATCAGCCGTGACATTCTAGAAGGGGGCTGAGAACAATCAGTTCCCTATACCATCAGAGGCCAGCTCCCTGCTGGGACAGCCCCGAGTCCCGTCAGCTCAGACCCAGAGACTCCCAAGGAGGGCAAGCCCATACAGAAGAGCCCAGAGCAGCACGGAACCCAGGAATCCCAAGCCGAGGACAGCTTCCCTATCCATTTCCTTTTCTGGTACTTGTCTATTAGTTTACCAAACCTCTTCTAGAAAACAAGGGAGTAAGCAGTTGGCTGAACTATTATTTCAGTTTGGGTATAAATTTTAAGTATCATATTCTCCCCAAACCAATTACTCTGATTAACAAAGGATAAATATTTTATAATTTAACAGAAACAGTAAAGAGGGAGTAATTTCCAATTAAAAGATTTTGTTGAAATATATTTCTTGAAATTAATGTAGATTTTTAAAAAATCCTTTTGGAGTCTCTTACATGTGTCACCTGTTCCTTCCATTGAAAAGGTACCTTTCAACCAAGAGGGTGGGGAGTGGGTAGAGATAAGAACATACCAGTCGGTTAAGCGTTCGATTTTGGCTCAGGTCATGATCTCATGGTTCATGAGTTCAAGCCCTACACTGGGCTCTGTGCTGGTGGTGCAGAGCCTGCTTGGGATTCTCTCTCTCTCCCCGTCTCTCTCTCTCTCTCTCTCTCTCTCTCTGCTCTTTCCCCACTTGTGCTCTCTCTCTCAAATAAACTTAAAACAAAAAAATGATTGATTCTCTTTAGGTTTCCAACTATAATTTTATTTATTTATTTATTTTTTTTAATTTTTTTTTCCAACTATAATTTTATATGTATCTTTTTTAATGTTTGTTTTGAGAGAGAGAGAGAGAGAGAGAGAGAGAGAGAGAGAGAGAGAACACGCGCGCACAGAGGAGGGGCAGAGAGAGAGGGAGACATAGAATCCGAAGCAGGCTCTGAGCCGTCAGCACAGTGCCGGACATGGGGCTCGAACTCACAAAATGTGAGATCATGACCTGAGCCAAAGTGAGATGCTCAACCAACTGAGCCACCCAGGCGCCCCTCCAACGATGATTTTAAAGGTCTAAAACTAAAGGATTTTATCCTGAGAAAAGGATTATTTGCTCTAAAATTAGATAGATTCACACATAAATCCAAAAGCAATTTACTAAGAATCCATTCTCCATAAAGATTTCTTTTGAACGTGTATCTCACACTGGGGATGAGCCCGGGGCTTGATGATATTTTACCGTGAAGAGCATAGTTCGATTTTCCTCAATATCTGTCGGCTGCACAATATTGTGCCCGCTAATTAGGTGGTTCTCAATGTCGTTTTCCTCAAAGGACCTGAAGAGACTACTACTCCGAAGGCTTCCATCTTGAAATTCCTTCTTAAAGGCCAAAGAGCGCAGGCCGGGCTGGGAGAAGGATTTGCGCATGGGCCTCCCGCCCTGCTCCCCATTCCCCACCGGCTGGAGCACAGACCGGAACTTATCCGTGAAGGAAAGCCCTCCCACAGGATTTGGGGTTTCAGAATCCTGGGAGACCAAGTCAAATTCGGCTTTCCTGCTGCAGCTGACATGATTGAACTTCTCGATGCACTCGTCGATCAGGGCCGGAGGGGCCTTCTTGTGAGCCACTGTCACCCGGCCACAGAAGAGCACCTCAAACTTCTTGGCAAACGTCTCATCGAACTCAGACGGGCAATGCAGCTCCTCCTGGCGGGCAATCTTCCCGGCCTGTCGGATGGAGCTGATGATCTCAGGCACCTGCCAAGAAAGGAAGAGTGTTACTTGGAACATGCTGTAGTAGGTATGCCCACGCTGGTGCGCACACACGTGTGTGTACACACACACACACACACACACACACGGCAGGAATATGCGAGGAACCAACGCTATGCTCTCCACAACCCCTCCACTGCATACTCCATGGTACTGACGCAGGATCCGTGGGGAATCCGGGACTTTCCGGAAATGTCTTCCCACGAGATGCACAACTTTCAGAAAGGAAAAGAGGAACAATACTGAGGAAGCACCTCTTATGTGCGAGGGCCTACGTTAGGGGACTGACATGCCCACAACACTCCACAAGGTTGAGTGACGAGCCCACGGACACACAACCCAGTGTGGCCGTGGAGTCAAACGTGGCTTAGTCCCTCTTCCAAGCCACACTGCGCACCCTCTGCGGCAGCTGTCACCTCCCAAAGAGATCTGTCTCCGATGTGGCTCCACCAAAACGCTCTCCTGCATTTCAGGGCGGTAGACCTTGGAGTGTCTTCCGCAATAAATGGGTGGGATGACCATGACAAGTGAGGACGGCAATTATCTTATCAAATACTTCTTCAAATCACAACGCTGTTATTTTCTTCAAAGACAGCTGACAATGTACTACTCGGTCCCATACTTCCTCACAGTTGAGCAGTGCTGACTGCAGAGCTAGAAGGTTTTAACCAAGGAGTGAGTAACCAAGGCTGTATCATTATCACGGCAACACACTGGGGCCTCTTCCCACAGAGACTCCAAGCCTCTGGGTTCAGTGCAGAGTCACGATCAAGAGAACGAACAAAAGGGTCTCATGTGCTATCATCATTCCTACGGCAACATCCTCTCATCGTGAGCTGCCAGCAAGAGCCTTCAAAGCAGCAGCAGATATAAATCTGCGACCACAGTAAGCACCTGTGTGGTCACTTAGATGAAGTACGGCCACGACACTAACACAAGACGGGCATGAATTCAATCTTGCTAAGGAAGGACCTAGTTTTTGTTATGACCTAAACCACAAAGCAATTTTTTTCCCCTTTTTTCTATGTAAGAAAATTCAATTTAAGGCCCAATACCCATAGGCTCAATGTCTTCCGACAACATTATAGAGGAAAGAACAGCAACAACAAAAAGCCTGTGACAATTCAGGTCAAAGATCAGCACATACAATAAAGGGAGATACCTGCAGGTTTAGAATGTATGCTTATATCCCGTAAGGCCCAATGGCTCCAAAGACTTTTCTTTGTGATTTCATATCAAGCACATCTTAAAGACGGAATCTCTGCCATAAAGATTATGATATACCCTTCCAAGGTATTTTATCATGCAAGGAGTTCAAATATATCTAGGTATATTCTATATTTTAAAAATTGATTCCTGAAGCATAAGAGCCAAACAATACTAAATAAGCCAACATTGCAGCATATGTCAAGCCTCTATTTGCACCGAGTATGTGCTTGTGCTGTAGCACAGGCCACTACTGCCAAATCGCATAGCACACGGAAGCCTGGAGACGGTTAATGTGAAAGATGACAGGACTGAGAGGGAGGAAGCCCAGGTTCCATTCACACCTTTGCCAACGTGTCACTACAGGCCCTTGGCAAAAACTGCCTCAGTTTCTCTCAAAACAAACAAACAAACAAACAAAGCTTATAAGATTTTTCAGGCAAAGTTATTTTGGCAAAGAATTTTCAAAGGAAAACAGCCAATTCCTGCAGTAAAAAAACCTCGCCGCATTTCTGAGCAAGTGTATGAAATTATTTTGTCAGGAGTCACATGAATCTTTCCCATTGTTGAACTTACTCTCTGAACAGAAAAGTCAAAGCTTACACAGCCTTCTGAGGCTTGTTAGAATAACTTCATTTCTGTACGCTGGACCTTCCACTGCCTCTGAGGTGGTGGCGTTTTTCATTATATAATCAAAGGAGAGAGAAAATGTGTGAAGTCTCATGAACTTACGGTGACTCGGTAGCAAACAACACAGACACAAGTAAGACACCGAGTGGAGAGCCTGACAGGGGTCCCTCACTTCACAAGCTCAGAAGAGGCTGAGGAGCTCATCACAACCTCGGTCAGGGTTGAGGTTGTGGAAGTTTTTCCGACCGCCATTCGCTCCTACACAGTAATCACCATCCTCTCGAGGCAGGCTTTAAGTCCAGGACCAGAGCCCTCCTCCTTGCTCCGGTGAGTTGCAATACGAGTATGAAGGAGAGGACTGGGTTAAAAAGAATCACTGGGATCCTAACAAGAGCCTAACCATCTCAGAATATTTGACAGAATACTGTCAAACATAATACAGCATAATACAGCAATACATTGTGAACACTTACAAATCGAATGTTTCAAAATCACCGTAAGTAAGATAGGAGACTTTTTAAATAAAAAATGGGCTCCACTTGTGTGTAAGTTTGTAAATCCGTGGTTCACTTTAGCAGAACAGGCCTGGAGCACTGCTTTTCGAGAAATGAAGGCACAACATCCACTTGCGATGAATCATGAATTCTCCATCCTTTGTGACTCTGTCCTGGACCCACCTACACTGTTAATTGTTACAGGAGGGAACTGAGTCATGTACCTCATTTTATTTCCAAACCTTTTTCTAGGTATCACTGGACGCCAGGAGGTAGGGGTCCAGAAGCAAGCCAGTCCTGCCCAGGCAGGGAGTGGGGCCCAAGGATCTTTAGCCAGAACGTGTACAGTCCTGAGATGGGGTCTGCTGGGGGCCTGAACGCAGATGGGAGTCGAGAGCAAGGCCGGGTAAAGGATTCTGGAAGACCGCACACACAAGAATCGGCAGCTATCTGGGTGGGGGAGTTGAGGGCATGAAAGACAGCAGGTGGCTTGGAGAGACTGCCTCAGGCTGCGAACACAGGAGGAGGTTGAAGGAGACAGGAGGAGCTTGGCTTCCGTACAGGCTCAGTGACAGTAGGAGGGCTTGAGAGTAAAGGCATCTAGTGGGCAGTTGGGCAAGTGGGCCTGGAGTCCAAGACAGGACACGTAGACTGGGACGTCAACGGCTCACGTACAAGCGGCGGCTGACACCCCGGGGAACAGAAAAAGGGGAAGCAAAGGCAGAAGGCAAGGATGGGACCGTAGGCTACACGGATGTCTCAGATGCAAAGAAACTGAGGGAGTGAAGGCAGAGGAGGAGAAAGGGAAGCCGTCAAGGATGACATCGGAGAGGTCAACCGAGGGAGAGGAGGCCGTGGAGAGTCAGCAGTGGCTGGGGATACGTAAAAGTAAATAAAGGGGGGATGCCAATTCTAACCCCCAAAATAAACAAACTTAACCAAAAAGGGTCTCAAGGTAAAACTTCAGGCTATCAGAACATATACTTCAAATTACAATATTGACCGCAAACACAGTGACCCTTTTAGGGCAAATACATCAGGCCAGTGGGGTTTACTTCCATTGATACAATCTAAAAAATACTTTTTTTAGCGTAGCCACAGCTGTAATATCTACGTCATTTCTGACCACAGATCAGCAGCAGAGTAAATCAAAACTAACTACAGTAAAAACAAGAATCTGAAAAGCATCATACTGCAATAAATTCAATAATGGTTTGAGATTTTATTTCCTTTTACACTGGGAATCACAACAACAAAAAAAGTTAATTAAAATGATTCCCCAACAATGAAAAAAAAAAGGCCCTGTTTAGATATAAAATTTCTTAAACTGCTCTTCTGTCAGCCTATTTGAGTTTATACTAAAGCTCCTTCTTAAAGTAAATCTGCATCTTATTTCACAACCACAACAACTTTCTCCTGATTTCACAGTAACAAATGCAGAATTCACACGGTAACACTACATATATATATGGTTTCTGCAGCAGGCTTAAGGGAGTATTGTTTTAGAAGTCACCAGAAAACCATAGTATAAGACAGTTAGAAACATTCACTTCCATAAATAAAGTCCTCATTTAAACATTTGGGTCAACTGTTTTGGTAAGGATTTAGGGATTTTAAAGGATGATAAACACATAGCAAGTGTAATTTTATTCACAAGGACTTAGGAAAGAGCTTCTAAAACAATATTTGGAATGAAAAATCATTTTATGTTACATTTATACCTGGTGTTTTGCTGCCAACTAGTAACAAATAAGTATTAACTGAATCTGAAGAAGCCCATATTTGTGTTTAAAATTCTAGCAATTTTTCCTATTATTTAACATTAAATCCTTCCCAAACTGCAAAAATACAGCAGGCCACACTGTGCTTTGTCCCTTGGATGAAATGTCCTCTCACTGCAAAAAGTTAAAACAACATGCTAAGGGAAAATTATTCTGCATAATTATTTTCCAGAAGGAACAGACTTGTGTTTCAATTTTGTCGGTAGTGAGTGTTTTTTTGTATTTGTTGGTCAGAAAGAAGGTAAATAGGGGAAGAAAACTAAATTAAACCAAGTATTTCCTCTAGCATATATGCCTTGAATTTTATACAAAATACTTAAGAAAATATCTTCTTACGAGTGCTCATTACTTAAATTATTTAAAGAGAATAAAACACCTGTCTCACACCATCCGGATAAGACATACGTGAACACTCATATTGTCCAACAGCTTGGCCTGCTGAGACTAGAGTCAACACAGAGATGTGAATACACTCCAACAATGAATAAGACAGGACTTCTCCTGACCTGAGAGGCTCACAGTCTAGGAAATAAGAGACACTCTAAATATATGATCTCCAGTACAATGTGACAGATGCTAGAATACAAACATGAGCAAAGCGGCTGAATGTGTGCTAGACAAGGCCGGTCCTGAGTAGAGGCCTCTCTTATCTGCCTGTCGGTCATGGAGCCTCACGGTGAAGGCCCCAGCTCCTGCTTTATGCTTACAATTAGCCCAAAGGTCAGACTCATGGGTTCGGTCTTCCTGAGAGATCAGACTTGCTCATTAGCTGACTGAGGAAGCAGCTGGCACGTAAGAAATGCTAATGACCGATGGCCCCTAACACGGGGCCACCCACCTCATTCATCCCATCCTTCTGTCCGTTGGGTCTTGA